ATTAAAATGAGTTAGAATCATTAAATGGCATAAATTAGATATTAGAGGCTAATGGGAGATACAAAATTACTTCGAGTTGTCGAGACAAACCACTCAATTCAACCAAATCAACCATAGGTTCTGTGCACTACGAACATCACATTGGCAGGTGGCTAAGTCAATAAAAATGGAGTATAAAATATTTTGAAAATGCCATTAACTCTTTAACGCCCCCCACAGGACCGTACGGTTGTCTTTCAAAATATACTTTATTGATACTAGACTCGCGCAACAGAAGGCGCTAATCTTGTCGTTTGAAACGCGTTCAAATGCGTGTCTATAGCCTTCGCCAGATGGCACCACCAAAACTCATCACGCCATCGGCACCAGCCTGCTGTGAGACACGCGTGAATGAGGTTGGGTGGGTATTTCAACAAAAAAAGACAATAATTCGGGTGTTAAATGGTTAAATAAAGAGTTAACAACTTGATAAATCAAGAATACAAATAAAGTGCATATTTTCAAACGATGCTCAAACTCGAGTCCTTCTTTTGGTCCGAGTTAACAAGAGCTCTATCGAGATTATGAACAATATATATATATTTAAAAGCAAAGAAAAATTGTGCAGCTTTCCTATTACTGAAGAAAAGAGGAAGATGCAATAGTGAGTTATTGAAGCTGACTTCAACAATCAACATTGTAAAAGACTTCTACAGACGGCAATTCTCCGAGAGTACGACTATATCAACCCAAGCTGTAGTTGCGCGGAGAGTCCACAAGACCGAAAGTCGATTCATCGGAGTGGCAGCAACAATGGGCTGAATAAATTGGTGATGTTGCGGAAGATTCCAACTAGAAACTTTTATACTTCGTTTACAGTCAATCGAGTGATCAACCCGCACTCGGATAGGAAGTAACAACTAAATGAGTTACTTCCCTAGTAGAATATTACGCCTTGAAATACCTTGAACATTCGATTGAAACGTAACTCGATTGTGCAGAGGAAAATTATAAATACCGAAAGAAGAAATACTCAAGAAAGTGTGGGAGGAAAAATTCGAGGAATGCTATAAATGGAAGATGAAAAGCTATAAAAATTAGACTGCTATTAATTAGTCGTGACAAATGGACAAATGGAAATTCCAAACGATTAAGGAGCATCTTCGTTGCTTGGGGGTTCAAGGCTGTCCTGTGATTTGTTAGATCACTAGGTTGCGGACATTGTACGATTAAATAAAACTAGAGTTAACAACTTTTTCAACTCGAAACAATTACTACGTAGCGAGTAAACAAGCACGAGATTCAATGATAACAACACCGTGTTTCAAGTATTTAAAAGTGCTGATTCGACGTCTTATGGACAAGTAGATTATTAAGTGTAACCGAATCAAAATGATAATTAGAAACTTAATATGTCAAATTGTCAAAACAGATTGGCATTAACAAAATTTGCCATTTTATTAAATTGATTTAATCATTAACTGGCAAGTTCGAGCTAACGGTACACAACAAAAAAGGGGTCCAAAGATAGCTGCCGGAAATATACCTCTGGTAGGGGAGTAGAGTGGAATGAAAACGCGAAAATATCTTTAGAAACTTCGTGACTGAAGGGCATTTAGGGCTTTCAAGAGGAGTTACAATCTATTTTGAATGAAACAGAGGGGAAAACCACATGAAAAGACTTATTCCACTTTATAGCATGGTTATCGTAGTTTATACAACTTTCAACCATTGAGAACAAATGCCTCTATCCCAAAATGTATGGATAGTTGTGATAGGGTGATCATTGATTCTACCCCCCACAAATTAGGTAGCTGTAATATTTTCCATAATGAGAGAAATAAAATGACCGAATTGCACCGAAATTTGAATGTAACTTCAAAAAAATAACGCTAGGATCAAAATCAGTAAAACCGGGTTATTTAATGTAAATTACTCCTTTTAGCCTAGGGAACTAAATTAGAAGCTGATTAAGTAATAGAATTAGCAAATCATAAGAAGTAACGCGAATATCAGGGGTTTATATTGGAAAAAAGAAAGCTTACAAAAAATATTATTCCTTAGTAATTTCCTTGAAATGATAACGATATATTGGAACGAAATTGTGTTATTTTCTTCATTGTTTAGCGTCACGTTTCGGATCCGCAAAACATTTACCCTTGTTCAGCTATCGATTACCTGGTAGACGTTACACTACGCTAGTATATCACAGCTGGATATCTTACGCATTCAGCGAAAACAGCAGTTCTTGCAAACATGTTCATAATCGTGAAACCGAAATATGGCTACTGGGATGAATTTTATTGACACGTAAATGCAAGTGCTGCAAAGAGCCATAAGGACGTCAAATAATGCCTATCTAACCTGACTATTTGACTATTTTCAAGCCCCAAAAGCTACTTTTTTGGCGGGAAAGTCCCAGTCCTCGTCTCTTACATAGGAATGATAGTGTTAGATAAATTTACATTTAGTAGATTGAAGGATCTCCTCAGAGCTCTTAAGTAACATGACTTAGTTAATCAGTACATTTGGGAATGGTTCATGAAATCTCTCAGCGTCGCAACAATACCAGTAAGAATTTAATACTTATACTTAATTTAATACTTATAGATAGCCTTCCGCATAAATATAGGTAAATAAGGAAACGGTTATATACATTTAGCAATCTGATACACTGTTAATGATTCTCCTAACCCTTTAACGCCCTACAGGGCCGTACAGCAGCGGCGCTATTGTCGGTTAAAACATGTTCAATACGTCCATAGTCTTCGCCTGATGCACCACCAAAACTTATCACGTCGGTATCAGTCTGCTGTGAGACTCGTGAGTACTGTTAGATGCATTTTCCACGTGTTCATGAAATAATAAAATCTAGTTTTACATGTTTCTGCTGTATGTACATTGAACAAGAATGCTGATTTTGAGAGCAACCAAACTCATTTACTTTCAATAAGGGATTAATAATAGTTTATCAAGGTAATGTTAAGGGTAGAAATGTCAATCATTTGTGCCATATGCCCAAGTGTTGCACGGCTAATGGAACAGTATAGTCCCCTTTCCTTATTTTCTATATTAATAAATAAATAATGTATTCAGAATGTTTGCTTGAACCTTCTCAGCTAGGGAAAACAGTGATGAAATTTTTTATTACACAAAAAAAGATAATTAGGACGTTAAAGGGTTGAGGAACTGCACAAGATGTCTTTGTTGTTTCCCTTTACTCTTCTTTACATGGATTTACATCAAACCAACAGCTTAACATAATTTTTTTTAAATTGTGGCTTTAATTTCAAAATAATTACCAAATAGGAAAATATATGCTAATAAAACCAGAGCTGATTAAAATAGTCATTGAATTATAGGTACAACTTTCATATATTTGGACAGTTTATCGGTATCATAGATTTCTCACTTTCACATTGAGGTATCGATTTTGTATTGATCCTATCTTATAATGAAGTCAAAAATCGATTTATTGTTTACTTCACATATTACTCTTAAATTCAATACATTCAATCAATCATATAATCACATTCTTATATTTCTTTATATTCGTTGGTACAGTCTCTTAGTACAATGCTAAAATAGCTTAGCGATAAACCAAGGCTTTTAACACCTCAGAGCTCTCGTTAAAGAGCTAAATAACAATGTTATTAAAAAAATTACAAATGAAAGCCTTTCACCTCGTTTTATTTATTTCTTTTATGCAACAATAAAAGCAATACATGAATCAACAAGCTTTTCAATCTAGATTCCCACAATTCCCATCTAATTACCCCTTGATCTCTCACTCCTGCGAAATTTAAACTTCAAAGGACTGATAAATTACTTTTCAAGGCCTTATTTGCAGTAAAGAAGTTTTAACAATAATTTAAAATGAGATTTTAAATAAAATTCAAATTTCAATTGAGCTGTCAATTAAGGAAATTTTAAGGAAAAGGTTCAGATGAATGGTTCAATAGCCCTGAATGCATTCAATATGAAATAATTATTTAACAATATTTTCCTGATTATAGGAGAAAACTAAATACAAAAAAAAGAAAGAGGAGGGGGAGGGGCGGATTTTCAAAACACAAAACAGACTTTCAATTTTAAATTGCGAGTATATTTGCATGACAATAATGAAATAGTGGCATGCGGTCATGTCTCCTCCTCCTCCCACCTCCCCGAAGGCCAAAACTCTAAAATCCAGTTAAAGTGAACAGAATCAAATGAAAGTTCAGAGGAATCAACTCCAATAAATTAAATCAAAGCATGGCCGTTAAAATGTGATCGAGAGAAAGTTGCAGAATGCGAGTTTCAAACCAGACTCTAGGAAAATTTTTATTTTTCTATCTGCTACTTGACAAAATGGATTACATTCAATAAGTCATTATGTATTAAAAGGGTAATACTTGTTAGACAATCACAATAGAGAAAAGTAGAAACCCAGACATAGACGATACGAGTGCCAGTAGACTGGGGATAGAGGTCAAGATGAATCTCTCAGATTGTGACATATCGAAAATCATCCCAGAAGATGCGTTACGTGGGCTTTAAAATCATTTTACCTATTATTATATAAAATTAAAACCAATAATAGAGGCGAATATTGAACTGTCCTCGTTCGTTATGAAAAAAAAATTAACCACTCACTAGAGACAGTAAGGTATGGCCAAAACTCAAAATGAATAAACTAAACCTTGGTATAAAATGAGGCCAAGCGTAATCACCCATTTTGACCCTGACACATCAAACTGCTAGTAGCATTGATATCGTGCAATGTAAACAATTGCCAGATCATCCAAAACAGAAGAATAGGATGGGGAATGAAAACTACACATCTAAAAATTCCTGTCAATGTAATAGAAGTGCCATAGGTGGATAAGTATTCTATCAATTTAATTTCTTTAAATTAGTCTGGAACACTGAAGTGTATTAGCAAAGTATTAATCCAGAATTAAAATTTACCAGAAAACCAAAGAAAGAAACGAAACGAAACAGGAGAAAATGAAACGGCTCACTTGGAGATCAGTAGATGAAGTTCCATCATTCACATTAAGAAATGTCTTCACTTTGTGCCGACGGATTGACCGAACCCAAGCAATAGTCTTAGCTCGACATGGCTCTGATGATTGTGGAAAGTAATCTAGAACAGAGCTGGAGAATCGAGGAACGATCATATTGGGGAGTCTTCGAAAGCATGATGCTTGCTTAAACAACTCTCGACCGAAACGCATTTCTACAAAATGTTGACAAATTTAAAATTAAAGAAACGATAGATAAACATATATATATATATATACAAATATACTGCCCCTAATCCCATTTGGAGAAGACAGGGAAACAAGAAACATATAACAATAATAGTAATAGTATTTAACGAATATTAGTATATGAATATGTGCAAGTAAATAAGTGAAGTAAATGAGAAAGCAAACAAGTAAAAATATCACAGCAGATTGGATTTGTAGGCAGGGGCTTTATGCTTTAAGCTAAAAAGATGTCGGAAGCAAAAACAAGTAAAGAGGATTGATAAAAATAGAAAAACAAGGCACACGAATGCGATTTCGATTGGAATGCTGCTAGTCTGCTTGTTCAGTTGAACAAATTTAAGATCATAAAAGAGTGCGGTTTTTTGGTATTGAAGACCAAGTAAGGCACCGATATGAAAGACATTGTGGCTATGGCCGAAATAGTCAAATTTTCCTGGATACATGCATTCGGGAAATCTCGAGATATAGAACAAACAAGCGGTGATACAAGAAATAAACTGCTTTGGCCAGATGGTAGATGAATCACAATAATGTTGAGGATAGATAGAAGGTTCGTAGAAACATTGGACAATCTTGTATAATATCGGTGAAGACATGAGAAATGCTGGAGAAGCAAAAGAACTCACTCTTATTACACTTCGCATAATACTTGGAGGAAGAGTTCGCGTCCACACAGCCTGATAAATTGATATCATAGAACAAATGGAAAGAATGATGAGATACGTTTCCAAGAATGAGAATCCGAATAAACCCGCTTTGGTTTGAACTTCTAATGGAAATGAGAAAGATGTGTAGGCTATACCGGAGCAATAAGTGAAAATAGTGAGACCGATGTAATCGATGGTGAAAGAAGCATGGCGAGTGAAGCGATCATAGCAGCAGAAAGTATGTCCAAAACTACTCCCAAATGCAAAACAAAAACAGCCGAAGAGATAGATATACGCAATGGGATTTGATGATGGTGAATTATACTCTTCTAAGACATATAGCATGATCATTGGTAATCCAAAAATGTGACTCCAGCAGTTGAAAGACTCATTGTGCAAATGAAATAGCGATCGGATGCTTCCAAGGAAATCAGTCTGTTTACGATATCCAGTATATATGTAGGGTTCTTTAAATTCTTCCGGTGTGTCTTCGATGTTATTAGTCAGTGCTGATTCACCATTGGAGCATCTTTTGGATTTAAGCGAGTATATTTCAAAATCAGCATGTGAATTAAATAAGGGCGAATAAAAAAGTTTCCCAACTTTATCTTGCAAAAGGCGGTATGAAGGACAACTCCACATTTATATTTAAGTTTACCAAAATTACAAGATTATTAAAAAACTAGCAGCTACCAATGCAAAAAAGCAATTAATAAAAACCACATTTCTGATATTTAAACAAGAACCTGCATGTCGTATTAGTATAAACAAAATATATGACCTTAAGATGAGGTGCGTTGTAGGTTGGTAGTAATTATATATTCATTAAGCTTTTCTATAAATTAATATAGCTAAAAGTTTAATATTTAAAGCGGTTATTTTGATTGAATAGCTTGCAAAACAATTGTACTGTTATAACCCTCTTATATTATTTTATACAGTGAATGAAATTGTCGCTGGAAATATAAATTTGTTTGCTTAATTTATCAATTTTTAGGTCGTAAAAAGCGTCTCGGGATTACTAATTTGAGAATTTAAGCCTTGAACTTGCTTAATCTAGATATGCATTTTGAAAATAATGAAGAAATACTCGTCGCAATGGAGCCACACACCTTTTTAATTTAGAACCTCCGTATGTCAATATTGTAGGAGTATAGTTTTCAATTTTAAGTAAATGGAATCTTTGTCCTTCAATTGAACTTAATTGTTCGAGTCACGATCGCCGAAATTGAATTTACTTGACTTGGTATAAATATTTCTTGGCACTTAATCTCTGCTTTACCATTAATATCATTGTAATTCTGGTCTACGGTTTTCTCTCGCCAGGATGGTCTTTCGTGTTATTAAATTTCTATTGACCTAAACGAATAAAAATATACAAATATGCTCATTTTTAACTATTTCTTTGCTTCCAAGCCAATAATTTTTTTTCTCGTTACCCAGAAATAATTAGAACAACAATATAGCCATCAGTCTCTCTTTATTGGGATGCTTATAAATTCTGTTGCTCAGTTGCCTGTTTGCATAGTCCCGTAAATTTCACGGAAATTTGGTTATGCATTCAAGCCAAATATTTGCGGCATTTTTTTGCTCCACACAGGCATTTTGATAACTGCTGAATGAGACAAAAGCAGATGATATTAAAAGAATAAGTTATCTTATGAGGCATTGGCAATAGCTATGAATAAATGTAATTACATTTGGAGGGTTTGATAGGGGGAGTGGAAAGCTTCTGGTTATTTCCTGAAAGACGATATAAGTGCATTCAATAATCCTTTTCAAGATGTTGTTTAAATTTTCCAAATGTACTTAGCGGTTACGCATTTGTGCTCCTTTATACGATTTAAGACATTCGTACTGATTTCATTTTCATACTTTATACTCTATTACATTTTATATAAGTTAATATATGCATTTTTGTTGAACCTTAAAATGCTTTGAGAAGCTCTGAAAGTTCTGAGTTTATTAAACAATACACCTTTCAAAGTACTTGAGCAGAAAGTAATTCTTGTTGAATGTTTTAACTACAACTTGACAATTATGTGCTCATTTGCCATAAATAATTTTTTACACTTTTTACTAACTTACTTTCGCATAACTTGAGGAATCTTCTTCAATATCTATCACTTCAAGGAAAATAAATTAAATTTAAAAATCTTTACGCTACCGAAAAGCTTCAGTTAAAAACATTTCTATTATCAAAACAGGATATATATATATTGATATTGATATACTCACATTGCAATTGGTAATCTATCGTTAGTTCTTCTCCTTCCTTAATGTTCCTTTTTGCAAAGAAGGCAATTCTTGGCAATTTAGGATTCGCCCCATCAATAAAGACATGGTGAATTTTCAGATTTGGATCACACTGCTCACGTAGGCAGAATAAATGAACTCAATTTAAAATACACTATTTGTGAGATTCAATAAACGCGATTATAGCCGGGTATGTACCAAAACTGTCAAGCACTGTTAAGAATAATATGATATTATTTACAGTCATGAACAATACTTCTGTTATTTATTGTTATAATCTGTCTATCCTTCACTACCGACATCCTTTGAGCACTTTGAAATTTCGTTTGGTTCGGTGCTCATTTTGTTACAGAATGCTTAAAAATTAACTCCCAATATGGATCTTTAATAAGTGCAAAGATACTATCACACGATTGTATTTGGAAAATTGGGAGTTCGAATGCAGAGCTGGTAATGAATAATTACAGAAATACAAGCCCAGATCAACTCAAAGACATTTAGGAACGGTTTTCGGGAACTTAACGTAGTAATTTCTGTAGAAGAAATTGATGCAGGTTAAGAGGTTGTTTCCAAACACATCGAATTTCAAATATAATTTCATTTTATATGAGGTGTTCCTATAGACTACCTATTTCTAAAAGTTATTAATTATTTAAATATCTTATTGAAAAATTACTCCTCTATTGCCTAATAAAATCTGCACCCTCCGATATCGATTCAAAGTGTAGAATATGAGGCTGCCTATGACCAATATCATTATCAAAATTCCTCTCTACTCCCAAAAAGAGGACATACATGTTGGTAAGTCAAGTTAGAAATAAGAAAACTTGCACTGTGATTGATAAAACGAGAAGCGTTGCCTGTATGACAATTATCAATCGCGAATTGAGAGGGCAGATCATAGTCCAGTTCAAAGATGTAAGTTTGACCTTCCCTGTCGTAAAGCTCTCCTCTACGAAAAGCCTCATTCATGGTAATAATCTGACAGTAAGGGAAAGAAATTTATTAAATGATATTAAATATTTGAATACTTCTAATTGTGTCAAAAAACGTATATATTTCGATTGATAAAAGAAATTTTGTAATCTTGAAATTGTAAGAAGAGGTGTACTTAATTTCAAATAAATCGAAATGGAGGACTCGAAAAACTAGCATTATTCAGAAATGAACACCCATTACTCACTTCACCAACGTATTCAATAACAAATGTGCCTTTAGGAATGAAATGCGGCGTTCTAACACCCCACCCTCGACCATTTGAAGTACGGAATAGGGTAAGAGGAATTTTACGGCCCAATTGTACAACCCGAAAGGGACACGACGATCCACATTTGCACCTATGGTCAAAAAATTTCATTATTGAAACATAAATTCTTATAATTTTGACGCTGTCGAGAAAAATAATAGTTCTCATTCAATTTCCTTACATGTAGTAATTCAATTTTTAATCATTTTTTTAAGAATTACTGGATTTAAGCACTTCTAACATCTTAAACCATTGAATAAATCGTCTCTGTCACTTTGCTTGGTTTTCTTTTTAAAATGTTCGTATGTACCTCTAGATCGTATTTTGTGCTTACTTCCTGAGTAATCAAACCATTAGTGGCATGCAAACAGTCTGATTAGCCTTCTCCTTCGTCACTATGCAGCCTCAAATTACAATGGTTAACTCGTAGGGTTGCCCATTATAATTATTAGATAGGACTCTAATCCATAACCCATGGCAGGCTATTAAACGGACACACGACTCCAGCATACATTTCAAACATTGATCATTGACTTACAAAGGGGAGCATTCAAATATTGCTTGTTTTAAGGGAGCCGTCAATCTTTTATGCGAGTTATATGGCAAATATGAGGATTTCACACAGCTACAGTTTCGTCGATTTTTCAAACAGGTCCCCGATCCTTCCACATCTGGGCAATCGCAAGATTGTGGTGTTTCTCCTGCAGGAGGTTGTACGTCTTTAGCATAAGTACAAACCCTAATAGGTTTGAAGCTTAGTGGAGGAGCTTAAGCAGCAAAACATATCATTAGACCAGTAAATTCAAACTTTCTGAATCCACTTCATTTATTACATTGATAGGAGGCTCGTCTGGAGTGATAGAATTCAATTTCTCCTCAAACTCTCTGAGAACGATTTCTAAGTAATAATCAGGAGACCGAGCTATAAAGGAATGTTTTCGCTTATGTGCACCTAAGCCGATACGCACAGAAGGATTTTGACTGCCAAATAAACGAAATTCACGTTTAGGAAAGAGGCGCTCATTTAAAATTTTCAACAATTTTGCAGGTGTAATATCAGTAAGAACTACAGCATTTTTTAACAATTTCATAATCTGTGAAACTGTATCCTGTTCGGGATTCAATCGTGTTGGCTAAAAAGATAAAAATCGTATTCAAATAAACTCTACCATAACAATATCACTTGGGTTCGGATATTTTTCCTTGAACGCATTTAATAACTTATCACAATTATTTAGGTTATCCTCTGGCTCCCATGTATTAAATACTGAAGGCCAATCCATCCACTTGATTTGGTAAACAGTTACTCCCTAATATAATAATAAAATAGTAAAAAATGTAATTATACATTTAGAAAATTTCTCCCAACTATTGCCTCTACTTCATTGTCTTCAGAAGGGGAAAATTTTAATATTTTCTCTTGTTCGACTAAAAAATTACCATGAATAAATTGATTTACGACCACAGATAACATTTTTAAGAACTTTAATTTCAAGCGCCGAAATCATTCTCTCAATTGTTTGGAAAACAGACTCGCTTGATAAAGTAACATTATTTACAATTTCCACATATTTAATAACATCCAGGACATCTGGTTCAACAAGAGAGGTCAGGCGAAAAGAAAATTCTTCGTCTTCCATTCAAGTAGGATAAAATAAAACCAATTTATTTTGGCAGAAAATGTAAAATCGCTGATATTAAAGGAATAGTTTACGTAAACAACGATTTTCACTTGTAAAAAAGGCTTTATGTTAGTTAGTATTTGAGTATTCCTAAGGAAAATAATTTTTTTGAAAACGAAATAAAAGTTTTAAATTTGATCGAAGTCCTTCAAGCTTACAATATACTTATATATTTTAGGATTATATTGATTTTTTGAAATATATTAACTGGAATTAGCTTAAATGAAATGCTTTTGAATGATTGTGTATTTAATCCTAGTTGATAAAATTAAACTAAATTTCTATAAGCATTAAAGTCCTCCTTTAGTTAATAGTATCACGACACTTGCTGAAGTATGCTTTAATACGTATGTATTAGGAGATTTAGATTCAAGTGAAGTTTTTAACTGATTGCACTGAAATTGTTTCACTCTCACATCTGTCAAATTGAGCTGGTAAAATTAGAATTTTCATTTAAATGTCGACTATGTTTACGAGTTAGTTTTAAAAATCGTCGTGGAATTGGGTTACGGAAGCGTTCACATCATATTGGATTCGCATGTTCAAAGCCGAAATTATTCCCAATTCTTATTTTCTATTATTATTTATTCCTCTGCTATTAATTCTAAGTTTGACAAAAATTATTGATATTTTAGGTGAATACTAAACCAATTATATTTCTTCACGTTATGTCTGATTAAGTTATCTCAGTTAAAACGGATAACTGACTAGTGGAATGAAACTATGTTCTAATGTTATTTCTTCATTACAGCCTATACGCTCCTCTTAATCTTCCACAGGTACAATAATTTAATTTTGTATGTAGTATTATAATGTTTAATTTGACCAGAAACTGTATTACTTTAGTTAATAGGTCTCTGAAAGTTGTGCATATCTTTGAAAATTAACAATACATATAAAATTTTAACCTTAAAGCTTCCTTCTTCTTCTCGTGAACTTTTGAAACACTACTAAGGCTGATCAAAATGAACTCATGTGTTCTCAATCCATCGGGAAGTTTCAATGTGTTACGGTTCGCATAGAAATCATGTGAGATCAAGAGTGGAGGGACCTCTCAGCTAGTAGACACACAAAATTCAATGTACTAATTAAGTTAATCTTTGTGATGATTCACCATGGATGTACTAAACGATGTCCTTGATACTGTTGACATAACTTAGCTAATTCCACTGGAGAATATTATTATTACGATTTCCTTAAACAGATATTTCTAAATCAAATGGAAGGTTGTGGAAAAACTGCATTCTGCACTCTCGTTTGTTAAAATAAAATTTTGAAACTTTCTTCAAGTTTATTTTACCGTCCTAAGGTAATTTATCGCCTATTTTCCCTATAGGTTTTGCAAAAAACATTTCCTTTGAACTACTTTAGTGGAGTCATACTTACTTAATATATCATTAGCCTGTACAGTTGTGCTGTGTTGTAGCTCCCTTACTTAATCAAGTCGATTCAATGTATTAAGGGGCCGCACTAGCTAAACTTGGTTAATAGAGGGTGGTGCCAAAATAAACAAACGTTTTTCGGCGAACAAAGTGTTCGCGAAGTTATAGTAATCTAGATAAGCTTAAAGAGTCATAACAGGAAAATTTGTTAGTGAAATGGCAGCATTCCGGGTCAGGTCGGTGCAGAACACCACGGTGCCCAAAAACAGGAAATTTTTGTAAACCAAAGCTTCGGCCCACCATATTATAATTCGGAAACTTAGCTGGGACATTGCATTTTACCATTCTAAGAAGGTGACCATGTTGATATTGCTATTAAAATTGCACATTTTAGAGTGCGACAAAAAAGGACAGTGCCTTGGCAAGCATAAATATGATCGTGATACATTCCATAATGTTTTGATGTTTTTTTCCCATATATTATACTTTAAATTCAAAATTAGCTAATTGAGTGGAGCATTTCGACCTTCCCTATACTAATTATGTTGGCTCAGAGTTAGTTATAAGTAAATTAGACTCCATAAGTTTGATGGAACTGACTAATTGCAAAAATCAATAGAAAATCTTCAACGCAAGGGGTTCAAAAGTAAATGGTTGACAAGTATTTTTTCATTCTTCGAGTCATATTGAAGTAATTCCGAATCACGTTTTAGAGGCATTCTCATTTACTGACAATTCAAACTTCGGGGTGTGCGATAGACCTGACTCCACGTGGTGCACCTTGAGCAACGTATATTTATACGGCAAAAAAATCTATAAATCGGCAGTTGACATCTAACTTCAAACTACCATGACCCAACTGTATGCCATATCCGACCACTTTCACAGTACTCACCTTACCTTTTCACTACCTTGTGTCCGTCTCTTTTGCATCTTTGGAACACTCTTCTGTTCCCCCTCTTGAATTTTTCTCACTTTGATGTTCCTCCCCTCTGTGAAGCCCGAAGTCAGCTAAAGGGCTAATGATAACTATCATAAAGCCTGCCATTTGAAATAAATAAATTAGTTAACAATGCAATCTTCCAGTGATGTGAAGTCGATCCGTGAATTGCTAAAATTTCACTCGACTAGTCAATAGCCCCTCATATGAGCCCGTCCATCATGAACTCTCTTCGGTTTGATGTCCTTTATGGCGTGGGAATGTTTATTCGCGAATATTTTTTCTTTTCAATGGAATGTACGAATATGTTCCCTTACTCATTTCCAAGCAGTTAAAAGCTCGATGAATTACGTTAATTTACACAAACTGAGATTTTCCTCTCTGGTTCTATGAAGTGTTATCATTAATGCAATTACTATGTTGGTCTAGGGGGGGGGGGGGGGGGGTGGGATAGACTTACCTCCACGTGGTCCACCCTGGGCAACGTATACTCATACGGCAAAAATGTCTGTTAATGGGCAGTTGACTTCTGACTTCAAACTACCAAGACCTCACTGGATTTCATATTCGTCTAATTTCACAGTACTACCTTTGTATTTGCCTGTCTCTTTTACGTCTGTGAATCATTATTCTGCCCCCCTCTCGACTTTTTGCCACTTTGGTGTTCCTCTTCCTTTCTGTGAAGCACGGAGTCAACTTAAGGGCTAATGATACCTATCATAACGCCTGCCATTTGAAATAAATAAATGTTGGTCTAGCGAAAATAAACTTCCCTTGGGTGGAATAGAGGTGTCCTTAGGTTGCTATTTTAAGAATCTTGTGTTCTAACGTCCCTCTTGTTGACCCGAATTAGTCCGTGTGGTAAACCATTGCGTCACCAGATGTGCATCGATTTCCCGACGTATATGTTGATGACTGCGTTATTTATTATTTATGAAGATCATTTGAAGTTA